CTGAGGCAGGACTGCAAGTTTGAGGCCAGTCTGGGCAATTTAATGAGACACGGTCTCAAAAACAAAACAAACAAACAAAAAAAAAATGTTGGGGGCATAGCTTTGTGATAAAGCACTTGCTTAGCATGCCCAAGGCCCAAGGTTCAACCCCTAGAATCACAACACACACACAAAACACACACACACACACACACCATACACACACCAAAACAAACAAAAAATAAAAGATAGTTTGTCTGCCAAGAAATGACATTTAGGCTCATAGCAGACTTTTAATCAGTAATAATAGATGACAGAACATGATAAACAATATTTCAAAAACTGTACTGAAAATAACTATAGGTTACAAAACTAAAGACTAAATTATCACTCAAAAGAGAAACCAACATAAAGATATTAGCAGTGACACCACATGAAGAGAGATTATGCCCTTGGATTCAATCTCTAGTTTATGGTTTGCATTTGAAATACTATAGAATACTGAAAAATGTACAAACCAGAATAACAAGTATAAAATGGGTACATTTTAAAATACAATGTTGAGAATACAAAGCATGTTGATAAAAGATACAGAATATGATAGTTTTAAAATGTTACACAAAAACATTATACATATTTGGAATACTTATCTACATAAGAACATATAATGTAATGTGTGAAAATAAAAAGTGCCAAATTTAGTAAAGTAAGTACACCTGGAGAAATGGGGGGATGGAGAAAAGGTGGACAGTAAAACACCATGTTCCTGAAATGCCCCTCTCTGTTCCCAAGAACCTCATCAAGTACATGAGTCTGGGCTAGAATGTCCAGACACTTTTCTCTTAAAGGACACTAACTTTCTCTTGTGTACACTGGGAATTAGGGCATGTTCTCGCTACCTGTAGAAACCTACTACCTTGCATGCATGCCAAGTTCCCTTGGATGCTGTTCATACAATGTGACAAAGCAAACTAAGTCAGTAATGTCACTGTTTCTATAGAGTGAATAAATGAATGAGTAAATTAATCTTTCTTGTTTTTCAATGCTGGAGATTGAACATAAGGCCTATAAGTAAGGTTGAGTGAATGAATCTTTTTTATTATAACTTTATTTTACTTATTTTTTATGTAGTGCTGAGGATTGAACCCAGTAATGCTAGCGAATATGTGACTCTTGACTACTTATTGGAGGCCACCTGGTATAGAAATGGAACTGTAATATCTAGATTATTTAAATTGGGACTGCAAATGCTATGCTCTGATATGGCATTACCTTATGATTATTTCCTTCTAGAAACTAATGAAGACATTATGCAAGTACGTCAAAGTAAAATATTTCTGTTTGCAGATGCTCTGATTTTTTTTTCTTTTTCTGTCATAATCCTGCCTCTGCCTTGTTTGCTGATCCATTCTGGATGTCCCAAACCAAACAACTGAGATGATCACTTTCCTGCTTAGGGATTTGAAAAGCAATTTTCAGATAAATTGTAAGTCTCTTTGGATTTGCTCAAATTCATATTTTGAGCATTATTTTCTCTTCTGCCACATTCTGATAGCTCCTTAATGAGGTTCTTTATATTTTTGTCACACTCTGAAAATTGCTTCCCCTAATGGCTTATCCCTCAAGAAGGGAGACACTGAATTCATTCCACTGCATTTCTCAGCCTCCTCTCTGTTCCATAATCAGCTCTGGAAGTTCCAGGTAAGAGAGGACAGTTTTACCTACTTTAGTTTTTGCCAAGAACAACTCCCACAGGCTATCCAGGATGTCTGTGTTTCATAGAAATCTGAGCTCTGGAATACTTCCATTTCCTTTCAATCGTCAGCCCTTCTGTATGAAAGACACGATGAAGTGTGTTTAACTCATAAGTAGACATATTGGCTACTTATACCCCAGTCCAGTGGACTCAAGTTCATAAACTCTTAAGCAATCTCTTCAGTACAAGATGAATCTCTATTTGCTTGTCCAAAACACACAGTTTCCATTTAGTAGAGCTCTGAGGTTTAATTGATGACCCTTCTTCACTGCCTCATTTCCTGGCTGAGTGTGCAATTATGGAGGGATGGTATTCTGAAGTATCAATCTTTCTTCCTAACCCATTTCTTAGTAACATTAAACTATATCAAAAAAGAAATTGCCTGTTTATCAGAGATTGACCTTAGTTATGTGAACTTGGGGTCATAAAACATTTCTGAGCCATTTCTATAAGAATAATATGGTTTTCTTTAAAGTGCATCACACTTAAGCCTGGATACAGCAGCTCATGTTTATAATTCTAGCTACTTGGGAGGCTGAGGCAGGAAGATCACAAGTTCAAGGCCAGTCTGGACAACTTAGTCAGACCCTGTCTCAATAAAATAAAATAAAAATAGCTGAGTGGTAGAACGCTTGCTTACCATGCATGAGGCCCTGGATTCAATCCCCAGCATCACCCCCCAAAAAAATTACATTTAAATTTTACTCCCTTATTTTCAGGTAAGTTTAGGCATTAAATTTATATAAATCCTTATTTATTTCTACAAGTCAATCAGAACAAACAGAGCTCTTTTAGTAAAATACAGTGTGTAACTTTTTCCAGAGGTATAACAACATCCCACACTCATATAATGAGGGGAAAGTTCTTTATGAATTATAGGCACACACAGATATATGGAGAGTTTATGGCTTCAAGTGTACAATTTCAGCCATGAATCAAGTGTAAAGACAATACACAAAAACTCACCAGTCTAGATATCAAAGACGTGTTCTCTTTCCCAGAAAGCATTAAATTCTTGAGTTGACAAATAAACAAAAACAAAAACAAACAACCAACCTAATAAGCCAGAGGCTTTAGGATGTACTAAAGGAAAAAAATTCTGGTTATTCACAGGTCTTTTCTAACTCTCGCTCAGTGTTCACCATTCATTCAAGAATATTTTGTCTACCATCTTGAGCACTTAGCACAGCACTAAGTCAGATAAATTTTGAAAATAGCAGGTCATGGCCCTTGCTTAAAAGTGATGTTAGCTGGATATGGTGGCATATCCCTGTAATTCCACAACACGGGAGGCTAAGGCAGGAGGATCGTGAGTTCAAAGCCAGCCTGAGCAACTTAGTGAGGCTCTAAGCAACTCAGCAAGACTCTGTCTCTAAGTAAAATACGAAAAAAAAAAAAAAAAAAAAGGGCTGGGGATGTGGCTATACTGAACCGCTACTCAAACGTAATGAACAGCAAAATTGTGGGTATAATTAGAAAATAGGACACTATGAAACAGAAGTACACTTGATCCTCATTATTTGTGGATTCTGTATTTGCAAATGTATACTACCCTAAAATTTATTTGTAATTCCAAAATCAACACTCAAAGTGCTTTTGCACTTATTCTCAGGCATATACAGATCAGTGAAAAGTGCCTGTTCCTAGACGCGGCTGAAGAAGGCCCACTCTGCCTTCTTGTTTCAGTTCTCATACATAAACAAGTGTCCTATCACAGTCTATCTAGTGCCATTTTTTCACATCCTTTTTTTAATATTTATTTTTTAGGTATAGATGGACACAACACAATGCCTTTATTTTTATGTGGTGCTGAGGATCGAACCGGATCCCGCCAGTGCTAGGCGAGCGCTCTACTGCTGAGCCACAATCCCGTCCTTTCCACATCTTTATTGATTAAAATATGCTGTTAAAAAATGGCCCCCAAAGCTAGTGCTATTGTTACTGGGCATGGGCTTGCTACCCTACATGCATAGAAGCCAATGCTGTGGCACCAGGTTTTTGCAAAAAGAAGACACTTTATTGTGCAGCCAACTGGCAAGGAGGTTAGGAGCTGAGAGCTCAAATCTGCCTTCCCTCTATTGGTAATGAGAGGATTTATAGAAAGTTAAAGGGGTAAATCTGCTTGTGGGTTGGATGAAAAGAAGGGGCCAGTTCAGTTTCAGTGGAAGTCATGGTCTGTGCTAGGGATATCACTGATGGTGGAGTTGGCTTTCAGCTCATGTCATTCTTGAAAAGCTGCTTCCAAACAATAATCATTAATGAATGGCCTGAAGGCTTTTCCATGAAGACAAGTTAAGGAACTCATGGCCTTGTGTGTGTAGGCCTTAGCAGATTTCACTGTCAAATTTTCCTAAGTGCAAGAAGCCTGTGATATAATTTACAGAGAAAATATTTCTGTTAGATAAACTTTGTTTAGGGGTGAGTTATAATGCTGTTGGCCTTGAGTTAATTCAGTGTTAATGAATTAACAGTATTAAATAAGGATCTTTAAATAGAAACACAAATACAACAAGATTAGGTATTGATTAGTTGATGAAAATGTAATTGAAGTCACACAGAAACCTAACCCTGTATTTCCCTAAATAGTAATGGCATAGTATACATTAATTCAGTGTTTGTGCAAATTGATGATAGAATCTAACTACTATTAATGATGAGAATCAATTATATACTGAGGGAAAATTATTCTTCCAAAGTAACACAAGAAGAAAAAAAAAAGGTTTCCCAAGAAACAACTTCAACAGCCTATGAAACACCACTGATCTTACCTTCTAGTATGCCTTTCTCCTCCTTTCTCCCACTTTATTCTCAATCTCTCTTTTCACGTTTTCCAAGAATCTAGAGCCCTACTATATTTGATACAGATGAGCACTCAAGACACACATACACATTTAAAAATGAGTTCTATAGTTATGTGGGTGTTTCCACAAAATTAGTTGCCAAAAATCTGTGGTACCCTCGTTCCATGGGAACTAAGAGGGTATTTCCTCAACTTGGGCATTCACCTTTTGAATATCTACATTTTAAAAATACGATAAAATAACTTTTATTTTCCTTCTTAGCTCTCATACAGTAACAACGGTGCACCTGCCCACGGGTCTTAATAAAGCGATCCAGTCATTTCTTTCCTTGTGTTTCTTTAAGACGGAGGTCGGGAATTTTGCCCTGTTCGGATATGGCTGGCAAAGCTTCCATCCTCTGCGCATGCTCCTTGAGCACAATTCGCGTGTAAGGATTTAAGGGATTCACTGGGCAGGATGGAGACCTGGCCGGCGGCGAGACTGCAGTTCCCAGCATGCATTGCAGCCGGGCCGGGAACCCGGACTTCGAGTGATGGGGGCCCCGTGGTGCCTTAAGCCGCCAAGTGGGTCGTAAAGGTTCAGGTGGAGCCCTGGGCCTGGGAATCGGACGACGGCTGAGAAAAGAAGATGGAAGCTTGGCGTTGTATGAGGAGGGGCTACGGCCGCTGTGTGGTGGGGAGAGGCCGGTCAGTAAGGCTGGGTGACCCGAGGGAGGAGGAAGGGGCGGGCGGCCCAGGTTAGCCCGGGGCGGGGCGGGCTTGGGGAGGCGGAGGAGGAAGAGGGTCTGGGAGATGGTGCGGCCGGGACGGTTCCTCCGGAGACCCAAAGGGATAGGTAAACCCGGCGCCAGGCCGGCGGGACGCTTGGCCGCCGGGTCCGGGTGCCGAGCGCGTCGGCCGCCTTCTGGGAAGGCGCGGGCCTTCCGGACCCGGCTTGGCCTCGGCGCCCTGGCCCTCTCCCCGGCTCAGCCTCCAGGCCGGGCTCAGCCTCCAGGCCGGTCTCGGCCTCCCTGGACGCCGCGGCCCGACCCGGGACTGGCAGCCTGTCGGCAGCAGGTCCTGGTGGGCCTGACCTCCAGGGAGGCGGTGCAAAGCACACGCCTGGGGGGTGGTTGGTTATTGGTAGGTTAGCATCTTTCAAACTTGGGTCGCTTTCATACCAACCTTTACGGTTATAGCCAAGTTCTCGTTCCAGCCGTGCTGTTGACTGGATGTTTTCTTTCAATTGACGTACTTAAAAGAAAAAAATTTAAAAAGCACTGAAGTAGGCGCTACCTCCATTAGCGACGCCCTTACTCGTGCCCGCGAAATCCTGGGATTACTTTTATTCCTAATAAACTAAAATAATATGTTGCAAATCAGAAGGTTTAATTGTGTACTCTATTAAACCGGCTGGTGTACCATGCGTGGGATGCACATCACTATTAATTATCACAAAAGTCATGAGGGTCTGGTGTTAACTCCTGTGGGCCTGGGACTTGATGGCAATTCGGTTCAACAATGTTTCCTGAGTACCGGCTGTATGCCAGGCACTGTGCTAGGCACTTGTGAAGATACCGGCTTAAAAATGAGTAAGAAGATTCTGGCTCTGAAGGAGCTCAATATCTTAAGAGAAAAAGGCGTTAAATAATTAAAAATACAGAGAATACATGTTGTAGTCCAAGTTTTAAGTTTTATTATAGTAGCTTAGAGAGGTAGGAAATGCAGAGACCAAGTGCCCAAATACCTATGGCTTTCAAGAGTTATCACAAGGCTGGGGTTGTGGCTCAGCAGTAGAGCGCTGCCTCGCAAGTGCGAGACCCTGGGTTCGATCCTCAGCACCAAATAAAAATAAATAAGTGAAATAAAGGTATTGTGTCCAGTTACAACTAAAAAATAAGTATAAAAAATTACCACAAAACAGGACAGAGTGCACGTGTGTCAAGTCTTTAAAGATGTATAATTAAGTTGATTGTTAGAGAACAGTTTGCGACCACATAAACAGCATTTATGCTCTTAAAATGAAAAATAACATAAAAGTCAACATTATTGACAGTATTTTGAGAAATGTACTTATAATGAATTCCAGAGGCAAGGATAGAAATCCTCTGAATCCTAACATTTTTTTTTTCAACCTACTAGAGTAAGAAGATGGTACTTAGGCTCCAGTGTTTTTTTTTTTTTTTTTTTGAGAGCTTGAGAGCAACATATCAAAGATAATCTTAGCACTACTTTGGAAATACTTTGGATGATAGGTTAAATTGATGCTGTTGGGCTTGAAGTGCTGTTGAGTGAATTCCTAGTACGTGATCTTTACCCTCTTTAATTTCCCCCAAGGAGAAGAATGCTTATAAAAGAAAAAAGAATGTAAAAATAAATTGTCCACCCACTGATGCACAAGGCAAGTAGTTTTGTAAGGTTGTGATAGGCTTGTTTTCTTAGCTTTACAAGTGTTTGGGAAAAATCTACTTTAGTATAAAAACCTGTTCAGAAACATGTTTTTTTCTCCAAATCCAAGTTGGAGGAGAGATTTGCTTCAATTGCAGTCTAATATGTGTTCCATATTTGATTAAGTATTATGTTTGCTGTGGATTTTATTTTTCTATGGAGTTTGGTGCCAGAGAGCTACTCTGAATTCTAGTTTGATGGTTGATTACTCTCTTAGTTGGACTGTGGACATTTTGGGAGCGTTTGTGGCGTTTTGGGGGCTGAGGTTGCATTTTCTTGTTAAGTATTTAGAATACCATTCATGGTTGTTTAGGGGGAAAGTATTGAGGTATTGATGCTCATAGCTAAACCATGCGTGCTTTTCCTTTCATCCTTCACAGATATAGAAGTCAGATTTTAAATAGTAGATGTTATCTTCCCTTGAGGAATTAAGTTTAGATTTTGTGTACTATAGCTGAACAAAAAGTGATGCCTCAAGGAGTGTATTTATTTCTTTTAGATACCCCATGTTTTCCCATCACCCGAAGAGTCTGGGCAGAGACTGGACTACACCGTGGGAGAATCTGCAAAGATGTTGCTGGAACAGACATATTTCTAGTTGTATGAGGTGGCCTGGACATTATTCTCGTGCTCCTTACCCATACTTCAGTAGTAGGCATTTTTCACTAAATTGGAGACCACCTTGTTTATTTGAGTCTAGAACTCAGTTTCAGTACAGTAACTGGAGACCTGACAACCTGAGCCAGACCTCTTTGATTCATCTCTCTAGTTACATCATGAACTCTGAGGGAGATGAGCCTTCATCAAAACGAAGAAAACACCAAGGTAAAGGTGACATTTATCTTGGTGAAGGAATAGATATAAATTATTATAGACTAAGTTGACACTTTCATTTGTAATATTTAAAACTCCTACAGATTTTAGAGATGTTTGGTGTTTATTTTTAGCCAGTAGTTTTCTATTAGGAAAAAAATAAATCTTTTTACAATGAAGTTTTTTTTTTTTTTTCAATTACTTGTGTATTTCTGGCTGAAAAAAAATAGAAGAAATTTCAGACAAAATACAGTTGGAAAAGAGTAGAGAAATAGATTAAAACACTAAGTTTAATTTAAGAATAATTTTCACATCCAGTGTTTTTGCAACAGAAGGCCTTTCAGGAATTAGAAATTGGTGGGTGTATTCTTGGAAGTCACAGATATAAAAAAAAAAATTAGTTTTCATTTTTAACACTAGCGTTTAAATATAAAAAGATTATATTTAAGAAGAAATAATTGAAAGTGAAGTTGGCCTGGTGGTATATACTGTAATATCTGCTACTCTGGAAACTGAGGCAAGTGGATTACAACTTTGAGACCAGCCTGGTCGATTTAGCAAGACCCTATCTCCAGTTGAAAAATCAAAAGGTCTGGGGGTGTAGCTCAGTAGTAGAACTTCCCTGGGTTCAGTCCCTAGTATGGGGGGAAGGGGGGAAGGAAACAATTGTAAGTGAAAGACAGTTTCTTACAGAGTGAGGTTTTAGTTTATTAAATCTGTACTTCTCAAACAGATCTATAAAATTGAGTCAGTCAGAAATATCTTTTAGAAAGGGATTTTATCTTATGCAACTCTGAGGAAACATTTTTTTCAAATACGTTGATTAGGTCTATTTTTCTCATGTATTTTTTTCTTCTGAACAATTCACTAGGCTCCCTCTTTGTCACCAGCCCTACACATACCCTAACCCTACTCCAACCTCCTGAAAATATAAAGGAAGTGTCAAGTAGAATTTGGAATTGTCTTTCCATTGAACCATAGTTTTCAGTGAAGATAATTCCTTTGAAGATATTTGAACATGGCCTGTGTGGGTGTTAACATGGAAGGAGATGACATACAAGTTTTTCAGAGGAAGACATTGAGTGAGTCTTGCCCAGAAATCGGGGTTAGAAGAATTGATTAGTTAGTACTCTTTGAGTTCTCTCTGCCCTTATTACACAAAAGCAGTATACAGGCTTAAGCTGGATTCTAGGTCCAGCTAATATCCAAGCAAATGTATAATTTGTTATCATAGAGTTGCAAAGAACCTACTTGGGGGGGGGCAAGAAACAGAAATTGTAATCCCTCAAAAGCGAAAATCTGTACTGCTTAATTATTACATGTGAAGATAAAGAGATATTTATTTGAATGAATGAAGGCATATTTAAAGGCATTAGAATCAGGTTCCTAAGAATGGATCATTATCTAAGTCCAGGTCTGTATGATGACCTTGAATTGCTTTTCATTTATTTATTTGTTGTTTATCAGGTTAGCATACACTTCTCTGCTGTTTATCCTCTTATAAATTTGGTGAGCTCTCAGAGCAGTGGCATATTGACATCTGACATTAGCATGGTCTTAGAAACCACTCCCTGCCCTCATTTCTACTCTACCACTGATTGTGTGAACGTGGAGAGATTACTGAAACTCCTTGCTCCTTAGATTCCTAGTGTAAGGTAATGCTTACCTTGCAAGTCTGTTGTGGAAGAAATGAGGCATGTCAAAGTGCCTACCACACTGTTGGCTACATTGTAGGTACTCAGAAAACTGTGGTGGTGTTTTCCCTTTAATGGATGGGGAATTACATTTACATACTGATAATCTTTGATTGCAACCTGACTCTCTATATGTCCATTCTTCCTAGGTATTGTGAATAAGGAAAAGGCTCTTCGTTAAGCCATATTTGTGACTTCCGATATTTCACTAATACTTTTCAATCAAGAGAACAGCATTGCTAACTTGCCTATCACTTTAAAGTGGTATTTGAAGGATTTGTGTGATACAATTATGATATTTTAATTAGGCAGCTCAAAAACCTGATCAGGCCTATTGCTTACTTTCTTTGATTCATCTATCTTCTCTGCTGTGATCATCTTGTTCCTCCTGACATGGAAGGTATATAAGCTTTTGCAGTGTGAATTTATGTTGTGAAGTATATAAAGGTCGAAGACTATCCACTCTGTCAGTGGTTTTCAAATTGTCTTCCATGGAACCCTAGCACTTGAAACACATTTATGTATTTTTATTAAAAGCAAATAAAATGTGTGTTTACTCTATCATCACATTCCCAGTCCCATTATGCCAGAGATTGATGTTCCATGACAAAAAATAATGACAGAAGGTTCTACAAGCTATCAAAGTTTGAAAGCCACTGTATTAATCAGATAATTGAATGGTCCTGGTTATTTAAAAGTAAAATCGCAAAAACGTTGATTTACAAACTGATTACCAGGACTATAAAAATCTTAAAGCATTTATATGCCATTTTGTGCATATATTTTATAAGGAACTGCAAACACATTTTTTAGACCCTCATTTTTCATTTTCATATGGCAGTGACCAAGATAGTGCTTTATTTATGACGATAGCTTACATTTTGTTTGCATGACTAGAGCCCTTTCCATCTCATATACATTTGTATACATTTGAAGACTGATTGGTGGCTAAAACCATCATAGACTAACCCCAGTTTATGAATAGTGTTCTATAAATCTCTAAGTAGCTCTATGGAGGTAGTATAATTAGCCCTAGTACTGAGCCCTTTTGGGGTAGGTTTCTGCATGTTTGGTGAAGGATAGAGAAAGGAATAATTTTCTTCCCTTTTCTGTGCATAGGACAAGCTCCATGTAAAATTATGGAATACTTCAGGACTTTCATTTAGTTTGGTTTTGTTTCTTTCCTCTTTTTTTTTTTTTCCTTTACCCTTCTCCTAATATGTTCATGAAACCATAAGTCTCCGATTCCTTTGTTCCCTCCAGACTGCACTAGTCATACTAGTTATCTTCTTGTGTCCTCCAGTCAACATTTCTATCCCCTCAGTGCATCAGATACTTAGATATTGAGGAAAGCAGTCTGATTAAAGTAATTTACCAGAAGGTATTATTATTTTATATTAATTTACCAGAAGGTATTTATTGGTATATTGGTATTTTGAGGTAAATAGATAATTATTGTAGATTTGGAAAATTCTGTCACAATCCTACTACTCAAAGATAACTATTTATAAAAATACTAGTGTATTTCCTTTTAATTTTATTTTCACTTCATGTATAAATTTATAGGATATTTTAACCTCAATTTAATTTTTAATTGGTAGGATTTTAGGCATTATAATCCAGCAAAGTGAAAACGTTCATGTAGAGTAGAAGAAGATATTCTAGGGCTGATTTTTCATATAATCTAATCATGTTTGGAAGTCCATCTCCTACTATATTTTCTTCCCATTATTTATTTCTTCTTCCTTTTGAGCTCATAGTTAGATCTCTAAAAGTTCCAAATTTTTCTTCTTAGCTTCCATGGCAGTAAGAGTATCCCGTTTAATGGTGTGGTGAGGGACACTACATAAATGGTGGTCATTTTTAAGTCAAGGACTATCTATAATGCAGAATCTCATACTTTTCTATTCTCTCATTGCTTTTTCAGAGTATGTTATGTCTTTGCGGAATAAAAACTATGACACATTCCTGGTTTTTGCATGCTATGTTTGTCAACCAGCCATTATCTACTAGCCTTCCATAAATCACATTTAGCTTTTGCTTTGGTATTTTGTTCATTTTGTTTTCATTGTTCCCCTACAATGTTTTAGATACTAAGTACTACTTCCATGTATTGTCATTATGTAACCTTCATTCATGTATATACCAGAATTCTGAACTAAAGAGTTATTCTGGAACTTAATCATTTGTTGATTTTATTTTACTAATAGGGAATAAAATATAATGTGAAATCATCTCATTGAAAAGCCAACTGTGACATACAAATACACCATTATAGTTGTCTGTGGCAAACTATTCTTAACCATAGAGAAGTAAGAAACCACAACCCCTGTATAGTATTAACTTTATTAGCACATACTCTTAGCCTTCAGAATGTCTTGTAGATCCTTTTAAATTTGTATATGTGTTAGTATAGCATTTTGCTGCCTTTGCAATCAATTTTATGACAGCTGCTAGTTATTTAGTGCTATATGGCCATTTTTTAGGGAAAAAACATTTGACTCATTATGGGAATTTTTAAATAGCATTTTAAATGAAGTTTTTACTAATTCTTATCTTGTCCAATGTATTTTAACAGGCATGATCAAAAGGAATTGGGAATATATATGTAACTATAAAAAAGAAAAAACGAAGATCCTAGGAGATGAAAATGTTGACCCCCAATGTGAAGACAGTGAGAACAAGTTTGACTTTTCAGTGATGTCCTATAATATACTTTCACAAGATTTATTGGAAGATAATTCACACCTTTATAGACACTGCCGACGGCCAGTATTACACTGGAGTTTTAGGTTTCCCAATATTCTGAAAGAAATTAAACACTTTGATGCAGATGTAAGTGTAAAATATTACCAAAATTCTTCACACAAGGAAGAGTTGAGTTCAATGTTTCATTTGTGCATTTGTGAATGAAGTGATTTTTATCCTTTTTTGTGTTGGGGGGGATAAAAAGGAGAGATGTTTAAAAACATCTTAAATATGGTGGAACAGTTCTCAACATGTTATCATGACTTCCAGAGAATCATTTGTTTGTATAAATAATTATCTAACTTTTCAAAAATTATCTGAAAAGTTGTAAGTATGGTCAGTTTTGAAACATGAGCTGGCATATTAAGAAAATATTTTCTTTGGTTCAAAATTTCAATAGTTCATGCAAAAATTTCATCTAAATGATAGTATTAAAAAAATCAACTTCTCTTAGAAAGGATTCCAAAGATTAGTACAAAAGAACATGGGAATTCAGGATAAAGAGCCTGACATGTAAATTTAAAACATTTCTTTTGGGAAATATCAATCTTGGATAAAAAGAAAGCTCCAAGATTAAAGGCCAGAGTTTTGAGATTGGTCAAATTGGGAAACATTAATTTGTTAAATCTAAAAATAACAGGAAAAAAGGATTTTAAGTCATTTTTTTCAATTCTCACCAGGTTTAGAATTTATGAAACCTCCTTTTAAAGGTGAAAGCACCAGAAAATTCATATTTGCATTTCTGTGTTTTAATTCAAGCTATTTTTTTCTTCCAAGGTACTTTGTTTGCAAGAAGTTCAAGAAGATCATTATGGAACAGAAATCAGGCCAAGTTTGGAATCACTGGGTACAATGTAACTTTTACTTTAGCCAAATTTACTTTTACTTTTGAAGATTTGTGTATTATTAAGCATAACTTGCCAAGAAAGATGTAAGATGTAAGCTAAAAATTTTAATTTTGAAAATGTAAATACCTATTTCAGAAGGTCAAAAAAACATTTGAGGTGTTTCAGTGGGAACCTTTTTAATGTTGATATGTACTTTTAATTCAAAGGGATAGGTATATCAGAATATGTTTAATAGTTCCTATTCCCAGCAGTTGCTGTGCTTACCACCAGAACACAAAGATTCTGATCTCCATGAGATCAGGGATGATTCTGCCTAGTTCATGACAATAGTAGAGCCTCTAGTACTTCATAGATAAAAGCTAAAAACCTGTTTAATGAATAAACACTTCTAGAAACAGGTCATCTTTGGTCATATAGATTGAAAAATGTACCTGCTTTATATTTATTTAATCAGCAAATAATTTTGAGTGCTTACTATATACTATGCACTGTTCTAGACAGTGGAGTTGGGTAAAACAGGTAAAATGTCTCCTCCCTTGGGTGGCACACACTTAGAATTATAATATATATCAGGAGATACTTATCTAGAGAAAAGTAGGAAAGTAGAATGAGATTTCAATTTTAATCAAAATGATCAAAGTGACATTTTAACAAAGACTTGAAAAAGAGGAACAAGCCATGCCTAGAGCATTCCAGGCAGCAGGAAGGCAGGTAATTGGAGATAGGAACAGAGCAAGGGGGAAAGAGCTATGGGCCGAAAGATTAGAGTTGAGGTGAAGAGAGAGGAGATGATTATAGAGCCTTACTGTCATTGTCATGACTTGGAACTGAGAGAGTGATGATGCACATTAGCATAGTAAGGACTTAACTCAGCCAGTAAAGAGATCTATTAAACCCAGTGCTAATCTTTTTGGATTCCAGCACTTACTTACATCCCATATTACTAATGTTCTGCAGAATACACTTTGTTAAACATTGTTGAGAAATATTATAAGAGCTATGTTTTGACATATATAAACAATTCCTTGTTTTACATTTCTTTCTTTCTTGTAGGTTATCACTGTGAATATAAGATGCGGACAGGAAGGAAACCTGATGGCTGTGCCATTTGCTTCAAGCATTCCAAATTTTCGCTCTTATCAGTGAATCCAGTGGAATTCTTCCGCCCTGATATTCCTCTCTTGGACAGAGACAATATTGGATTAGTTTTACTCTTGCAGCCCAAAATTCCATGTGCTACCTCTCCTGCGATCTGTGTAGCTAATACACATCTATTGTATAATCCAAGGAGAGGAGATATTAAGCTGACTCAATTGGCAATGCTGCTGGCAGAGATTTCCAGTGTTGCACATCAGAAAGATGGCAGCTTCTGTCCTATTGTTATGTGTGGTGACTTTAATTCTGTACCTGGTTCTCCGCTCTATAGTTTCATAAAGGAAGGAAAATTGAATTATGAAGGACTTGCCATAGGAAAGGTAAGTGCTCACTTTTCCATTGTAAAGAGGTGGGTAGTTGCTCCATTCATTGTAATGTGAGGATAGTCATCTTGTGGCTCTTAGAAAACCTTGGATGATCCAGTATCTCACTTTACCAATCCGTGATGATTTTCCACAACTCCTAATCAGTCTTTATTCACTTGGTTAATTTTATCTTTTCTGTGCATCTGTGGCAACATTCTGCTTAGAGGAATTAGCAAGCAAGCAAGAAAGAAAGAAAGAAAAATAGGGGGAAAAAAACTGCCAGACATGAATACCTCACAAATAAAGAACTGTTCAAAAGGTGGCAGGATAGAATTTTGAATGCTGGATACAGGCAACACTCTTAGCAAAACTAGTCTTCATTATATTTTCCTCTACATAATGAGTAATATTTTAATGCTTTAGTTTATAATAATTTATCTGGTGCTATTATTTTTATTGTACTTTCCTCTGCTTTAATCATGTGATCTTCGGTATATTTAACCAAAGTAAACTATACTCCTGGAGTTTTGAGTAATCATAAATTTAAAGAGTTGATCCTCTTAGTATTTGATATAATAGGAATTATATTGCAGGTAGCAAAAAGGGAGAGGCAGTATTAGTCAAAGCTTTAAATAGTTTGGATGTTTAAATTAGAGAAAAATGTGTATATAGAAAAAGACTTGTTTTCATATAAATAAGTACTTTCTGAACTGTATTTGAACATGATTTTTATAAGCACAGATAATTAACATAATGAATAATGGGTAATGTTTACTATTTTTGGATTACCTTTTATTTAAGACATAAATTTTTCAATACATAAATTATTTAAAATCTATTCACCTAAGATACCTGTTGAAATTTTGTTTAGGTATCTGGCCAGGAACAGTCTTCACGGGGACAAAGAATTTTATCTATTCCAATTTGGCCCCCAAACCTAGGTATCTCACAGAACTGTGTGTATGAGGTACAGCAGGTACCAAAAGTAGAAAAGACAGGTAAGCGTTTGCAGTACATTTTGGCAGTCTGCTGGGCAATAGTATTCCTTTTGAAGCTGTAAGATGAAAAATTTAAAGGAATAGCATCTCAGGGATGAATATTCATATATATGATAAGTATTTATCTATTTGCTCATTCCTTTTTTCAAAGAGCTTTAAATTTACTTTGTAAAGTTGAACTTCCAAAATTACATATGCATGATTACTTGCATGTTGCCTTTGAAATGTTTGCATTTTGTTTTATTAAAAAAAAAAGTTGTGGGGCTGGGGATGTGGCTCAAGCGGTAGCGCACTTGCTTGGCATGCACGGGGTGCCGGGTTCAATATTCAGCACCACATAAAAATAAAAAAATAAAGATGTTGTGTCCACCGAAAACTAAAAAATAAATATTAAAAAATTCTCTCTCTTTAAAAAAAAAAAAAGTTGGTTGGTTAAAAAAAAAAGTTGTTTTTTTGTTTTTTAGTTGGACACAGTACCTTTATTTTTATTTATTTATTTGTATGCGGTGCTGAGGATTGAACCCAGAGCCTCACACATCCTAGGCAAGTGCTGTACCACTGAGATACAACCCCAACCCTGCATTTTATTTTTTCCTAATTCTGGAGACTATCAAAACAGACTCCAGGATAAAACACATAAGGTGGCAGGAGGCAGAGTAGAATTTAAACTAGATGTGTTTTTTTAAATATCATTCTGTAGTAAGAGGACTATACTAAGACAAACTAGAACAAAAGAATGTGTAAGTAAGCTTAATACATTTCTCTGTTCTTACAGATAAAGATCCTACACAAACACAGCTGGAGAAAACAGAGGTCCTCGAAACAGCTGAAAAGTGAGTTCTGGAAAGCAGTTGGACACTTCCTGACTTCAGTTGAATAAAAAAATATTTCTCAAAAAAACACTTGGATAAAAAAGGAAGATAGTGTTGATGCTGCTTTTTTAGTGGTGTGATTTTGCACATGATATTTAACATTTCTGAGGTTCAGTTTCCTGATATATAATTTGGGTTGTTGTGAGGATTCACAGAGATAAAATATATAAAGTTTAATGTTTAATGCTTAGTTGGTGTTATGAAAGGACCTAGACCAGCTCAAGTACCCTGAAATTTATTGCCATTTCATATTTAAACAAAGGTCAAGATTGCAGAAAAATATTTTTCGGTTTTCAGGAGGGTCCTTAGTGTTCTTTGACTTACTAGATCTCAAAACAGTCTACAGGAGAATTGATCCAAAAAAAAGAGTATGCCAGTAGAAAAGAGAAATTTTATAATATCTTGAACTATAGGAAAAGAACATCAGCGGATGAAGATGCATGGATTCCTTATTAAAGAAACATTAATGTTTCGGGCTGTGGTTGAGAAATGGATTTATGTTAGCATAACAAGACAGGGGTCTATGTCTTATCTCTTTGGGAAATTTTTGAAATATTTTGATTATTTTATGTTGTGAATAAGTTTTTGTTTTAACATTTAAACTTAGGAACCTAATTAGGAGCATCTCTCCTACATTTTATTTGTTTTCTTTTTTTTAATATTTTTTTAATTGTAGGTGGACACAGTGCCTTTGTTTTTATTTATTTATTTTTATGTGGTGCTGAGGATCAAACCTAGTACCTCACACATGCTAGACGAGTGCGCTACCACTGAACCACAATCCTAGCCCCCTTATCTACTTTCTTAATTTTATTTTGTATACCTTGTTTTGAGAACATATTCTCACATCATAAAAACTCAGTAAGAAAGGAAGCAGTTTTTTGGTTTTCAAAAAGGAATATTTAGCCACCTGTTGTGGTGCATACCTGCAAGCCCAGCAACAGGCCGGAGGATCACAAGTTCCAGGGCAGCCTAAGCAACTTAATAAGACCCACAGCCTGGGCAACTAGTGAGAGAGATTCTGTCTCAATTTTTTTTAAAAAAAAGTGGGTGGTGGGGGAGTGGGGAGGGTGGCTGCTGGGGATATAGCTCAGTGGTAGAGCTTATCTAGCATGTGTGAGACCCTGGATTCAATCCCCAGTATTAAAGGAAAAAAAAAAATAAAGAAGATTAACCTAACAAGTAATAATTTTAAGTAATTCTTAAATTGTTTTAAAATAAGATGGGGTATGAGAAAAGATAGGTTGACTATCTGCACATGAATGCAGTGCATTTATATGTACAGCTTTTATCTGTAAACTGAAAAATTTATGGTAAGATGAAAATTTGCAGAAAACCTATTTACATTTAATAATTCTGTAAATATATGTTCCTGAACATAAGAAGTTCCTAAAAGTTGGAAGTTAAGAGCAATTCCAAGGAATTATCTTTATTTATTGACATACTAGCTCATCAAAAACAAAACCACATTAAAACCTCATTTTTATCTGTAGCCTCAGCACCTAAGATGGTGCCTAGAATTTATTAGATGTTTGATAAATGTTTGTTGAATGAATTTTCAAAATGTTCTGAAGATTTTATTTTTCTTTATGGCATAAATGATCCTTAAAATTTATGATGTATTACTAGAAAATGATCTTTAAACCCTTTGCCCATAACATCACATGTATTTATAGTAAATGTAAGCCATTGTAGAAGCTGACTTCAGATGCAGCCTGAAGTTATCTCATACATCAGAGCAAGAATAACAGAAAAACGTGGTCCCTCTGATGTCAGAAGTCTTTTTCTTTCTTAAAAATAATGTAAGTTGTCTTAGAATACATGTTAATTATCAAGTAAAGGCTTTTGAACATAGTTTCATTAGTATGTTGGTTATTGATATATTGGATTTTGAATATCACTGCATAAGTGAATGCTAAATTATGATATGGTCTGCATATATAAAACTTGTCCTAATGTCTGGTCTTAATGTAGAAATTGAATGAAAAAGTACTTTAAATAGGAGTCTTGAAAAACTTGATGGATGCTGAATGCTTTTTCTTTTCAATTTAGATTATCTTCAAACCTACAACACCATTTCAGCTTGTCATCCGTTTATTCACATTTCTTTCCTGACACTGGAATTCCAGAAGTTACCACCTGTCATTCTCGAAGTGCCATAACTGTGGATTATATTTTCTACTCTGCAGAAAAAGAAGATGTTGCTAGGCACCCAGGTAAAAACCGTATGTATTCCTAACTCTGCTAGAGAGCCCAGTAGCTAAAACTCCAAGGCTGAAGTTAAGAAAGTTAGCTAAACCTCTAGATAAAGTTCCAGATTTAGAAGTTAAAATACTCTGAAAGAAACAGTTGATGGTGTCAATCAGTTACTTGCCTGCATATGATGGAAAGCAGGAAAGTACTCCAAAGAAATTATTTAAAAATTATATCCGTAGTTGATAGTAACTGAATAGATTGTCAATGGTCATCATACAATTTTGTGGTTAAGATTTACTAAGGCATGCTGCCTTTGTTGTAGGACCACACTTATCCTGCCAACAACAGTTTTGTATATTGACTTTGGAATATTGGATCTTTCTGAGGAAGAAAGCGTGACTATGTGTTTCTAAAAAGCAAAAGTGATAACATCTTTCCTTGTATGACTCAGTGAAAATCAGGTTGTATACATTAATCAAAGGATTTTAAATGGAGAATTTAAAATAATCAGAATATAAAGTAGAACTTTTGGCAGTTTTAAATGTGGGCAGCTTTTTTTTTTTCCCGTCTGTCTGTCTGTCTCTCTCTCTATCTCTGTCTCTCTCTCTGTCTGTCTGTCTGTCATCCCTAGCACTTTGTATTTTATGAGATGGAGTCTTACAAGTTGGCAGTTGGCCAGGTTGACCTCAAACTTGTGATCCTTCTGTCTCAGCCTCCCTAGTTGCTGGGATTACAGGTGTGGGCCACCATTCCCAGCTCTCTTCCTTTTTTTGTGTATGTGTGTGTGCTTTTTTTATATTTTCCCTTTTGTTCCTGTTTTATTTTACCTCCCCTTCCTTCTGGGGATTACTTTATTAGTAACACTCAGGAGATAGCTTACTCTTCCTACTAAAATCAATTTTATGAAATAGCTTGTTATAATAGGGTTCTGGAAGATGTCATGCATACAAAAGTTCACTAGGTGGCGGGAGAGTATCATGGATCAGCCTCTCAAATCTCTTCACAGTTGAGAGCCTGTCATGTTTTACTTCTGTGGGGGCAGCCTCTCTGGGAGTAAATTATACTTATTCTCCAGTTACCTGATAAGCTTCCTACATAAGTGTGGTTGGATCTGTTTGGTTTTATTGCAATTGCAAAATGGTTGATGGATGATTTATTGGGTAGTTATCAATCTGAAATTACTCTTAACTTTTTTTTATGTATTACATTAATATTTTCCTCTAAAGATTATTTGCAAAACTTAAAATAGAAAAATGTGTTTGAAGTACAAATAATATTAGAAACTGCTGTGAGTTTGAGAATTACTGTTATAACTCAATAAAACAATTAGTCATTCTAAAAACTTTCATATTAGTGTTCTGTAGGAGTCTCAAGTTCTTTGTCACTGTTTAGAAAAAAAGCCTTGTGTAATTAATTTACAATAACTCATTGACCGTTTCACTAAACATGTATCTGCTTCTTTAATGTAGGAGCTGAAGTTGCTTTGGGTGGTGGCTTGAAACTTCTAGCTAGACTGTCACTTCTTACAGAACAAGACTTATGGACTGTTAATGGACTTCCAAATGAAAATAACTCTTCAGATCATCTGCCTTTATTGGCAAAATTCAGACTTGAGCTCTGACTCTTCTTTGATTATATACATAATTTTATTTCTGGTTATATTCTTTTTCAAAGACTATAAAGTTATTCTTCGGCTTTTGCATGTTTATTTTTGTGCTGTGGAGTTTCTGAAGAGATCAAGTGCTTGAAACAGATATTGGAAGAAACAAGTTTACAACAATTTTCTTTTTTAATGATAAAAAATATTTTCCTGACAATTGAGATGTAAATACTCTTTATTATAAAAGATGTGTAAATTTTTATCCTAAATCTTAGTAAAGTTGACAATGTTTTTAAAATATAGTGCATATTCTTGAGTCTGTTTAGTGAAGAATTTCATTTCATGTTTTTGGAAAGCTTTAAGTGGATCCAGAATATCTGAGTTCTTGCAAACCACAATTTGTTTCTGTCTATAGGCGTGATTTCTTTGGGAAAACTCTATGTGTTTTGAGTCCCAATTGGTTGTCTCAGAAATCATCAGATCATTCACAGGTATCCAGCTTACCATTTTAGTTTTTGAAGGTAATAATGCTTTAAAATTGTACAAAATGCTTAATCCTTCTTATTATTGTCCTGAGCCATGTGATATGCCTGTAGTTTGGAGAAAAGGTTTGGGAAATGGAGGTCACCATTAGAGGATGAGGTCTTATAAGTCTACTCTTTTCACCCCATAACAGATATAGGTGGACCTAAAAGTAGTAGACTTGAGTTATGCCTTTGTTTACCTAGGATTTTCTTTGTGTTTTTCTGTTTTCTGTAAGAAAAGATCTGTGGGGCCAGGTGCTGTGGCACATGCCTGTGACTCAGAGGCTGAGATAAGAGAATTGCAAGTTTGAGGCCTCAGCAACTTAGCAAGGCCCTATGTAACTTAAGAGAGAACTTGCCTCAAAATAAAAATTTAAAAGGGGGGTCTGGGGATACAGGTAGGTGGAATAGCACCCCTGGCTTCAGTCCTCAGTACCTTCCATGATCCCCACAAAAAAAGAAAAGATCCCTGATTTAGGGGAGAGATTCTGTTTTACTGAACTGATTTTGTAGAACTATATTTTATTAGGAAAATCATCAGAACAAAGTAGCAGCTATCAGGGTTCTAAGAAACTTGTAAAACTCTGAGGGGAGATACCAACTTGGATACCTAATTCTCTAGAAGAGCTCTTTAAAAAGCCATCAGTTTCAGTGGTTTTTTTTTTTTTTTTTTTTTTTGGTACCAGGGATTAAACCCAGGGGTGCTTAACCACTGCGCCACATCCCCAGCCCTTTTTAATATTTTATTTAGACAGGGTTTTGCTGAGTTGCTTAAAGTCTTGCTAAGTTGCTGAGGCTGACTTTGAACTCAAGATCCTCCTGCCTCAACCTCCAAAGCCTGCTGGGATTATAGGCGTGTACTACTGAGCCCACCTTTATTTTGTTTTATAGTGGTGCACCAGTGTAAGGTGGTGCTTATTTTGAGTGGATTATGAAAGGTTTTTATGAGGTCTGATAAAATCCTGTAGGTGGTTCTATGTGTTTGAATCAAAAACAAATTTTTTTAAACAATTTTTTTTTGTAGTTGTATATGGACAACTTTGTTTTATTTATTTATTTTTATGTGGTGCTGAGGATCGAATCCAGGGCCTCACACGTGCTAGGCAAGCACTATACCACTTAGCTACAGCCCCAGCCCCTTGAATCAAAAAATTTTAAAACACAAAAAGTTAAAATTTTATTTTGTAAACAGTAGGATCAATGGATTATAAACATTTTTACTAAGTAGTCATTTTGCACTAAATTATAAACATTTTTACAGTGAATTTTATTACTAGAATGTCTTGTCTTCAATTGGAAAACATACTAGTCTTGGACTTAAAATTTTTGTACTAAACCATTTGCTATAATTATTTTTTAAAAATAAACCAGATGAAAGCCTCCAAGAAGATGTGCAGGTGATAAAGATTTATCTATTAAAATCTGTAGTGAGTGAGTACTTTGAAATGTTTAATTGCTTACTTTTTTTTTTGTAGTTGTAGATGGATAGCATGCCTTTATTTTGCTTGTTTATTTTTATGTGGTGCTGAGGATTGAACCCAGTGCTTCACATGTGCTATGCAAGTACTGTGCCACTAAGCTACATCCCAAGCCCTTCTTTTTTAAGTTTTTATTTAGTGTCAACTATAGTTCAAAGATTTTCCTCATTTTTTAGTAGAATAATATAGGTCCTGATTAACAGATATAATCATCATCAAATTATAATGATAATAGAATTATCATTATAAAATTATAATGATAATAGAATCTCTTTACAGTATTGGGGAAATAAAAATGAAAATTCATTGATTAGTGCTTCATGTTGAATGAGTTTATTTTAAAATAACTTTATTATATATAGGTCATTTTTAGCAATCTAATATCCTTGAAAACCTCTGAAAATTTTATATCCTAATAAATACATTGTGAATTTTGGCCCATTTCATGTGCTTCATTTTGAGAAGAGTTAATCCATAAAATTGCTTTCTATTTTAACTTATCAAATGAAGTGTTATTTTGTGGACCAGAAGCCAACAGGTCACTATAACTTTCTCACAAGCTTTTAAAGCTCCACTGAAAAGTAATTATCCACTTGTCTTTCCTTTTTTTAGCCACTAGAGTTGGTAATGCTTCTGGATCCTCATTTTTACTTGCCAAAAACAATCGTTAATTGCAGAAACCAAATCTCACAGTCTAAAGTGTTATATACTATTCAAGCAAAGGGAGATTGTGAAATAATTAAATTTTTATTTTACTCTGTGTTTTAATATCAAGATAATATGCATGATAGAAATCTTGTCTCTCTCTCTTTTTTTTAATTTAACAACTGTCTGCTTTAAACACTTTGCTTTTCTTAAAAAAATAAATAATAATCAAAGTTATTTGGGAGCCAGAGAGTTCAAGGGCTTGGGGGAATGAAGGAGTCAAGTCATTTGCACTTTGTACCTGTAAATTATGTAATAAATTATTAGAATTGTACATCTGGTGCCTGAACGTTTTGTGGTAGATGTACTAAGCTGCACAAGTTGGCCTTTGGCCTCTTCAAAAGTATTTCAGTACTCTGTTCAGCCTTTATTACTACTTGGGGTAATGCTACAAGCTAAGATGCCAAAATAGAGGACCAAGGAATAAAATTGTACCATCTGATATTTTTAGTGGAATAAAAAGAGAACACAATTGTTAAGTTTCCAGGATGGTTTTATTAAATTTCCATGCTATGTATAAACATACAAGTGATGAGAAAAACATTAACTTGAAACATGCACGTATCTGGCATTCTCTAAAATACCAATATACAAGTTTTCGTTTACTTAGAAAAATACCCACTAAAACAATCACAGATTTTCTTAAAAGGTTTAAAAAAAATGTATTGGCCAGAACAAAGTTCAGGAGAATAAACAAGATTCCAATAGTATGTCAAAAAAACTGTACAAGGTTGTACATAAAACTATAGCTTACAAAAGCCTCAGGTATAGTAAGAATACTGAATTAAGATTTCCAAAGTTCTATTTACCAATATCTATTAATAAAATCCTTATGAAATAATTGACTTAGAAAAAGTGAAATGCTCATGATTTCAGTGTGTATAGAAAATACTAAATATCACTTTCTGAAATAAAGTGTACTCAAAACATCACAACATAGTCTCAGATCAAAATTTCTGTCATTCATTTAAACTTTGCATATAATGCCATGTGGCTTAAGCATAAAATTTCTCTTGCATAATAACTTTAAAAACTAGACTCCAAATCATCTTGTAACTTAATTTTTTATCTTTTGAATTACAGCTATTCTTAAAATCAGTTTTGAGAGGTAAAACATGTTGGGCTTGTTTGGTTGCTTATTTGAGGTTTTTGCCATAATATTATTTTTTTTAATTATTACATTAGAATTTAGGATTTGGTGACTTTCCTATATCTTTTCAAAATTAACATATTCTGTAGGCAATAGAAGTAAAATGACAACTGTGAACAGTTTAAATAAGTTTACATGTTGCTGTGAGTAACCCTTACTTAGGAAAAATGAATGTAAAAATCACAGAATGTCAAAGAAATTAGGTTGCTAATTGAATCATCAGGCCAGCTGGCAATTTTAAGGCTTATATATCAACATACTGGGAACAGTTTTATATTCCTGTTCTTTTACCTTTTCTTGGGAGAAACAAGAAGCTCTGCAACTATTTGACATTTTGTGTTTGGGATGGGATAGTCCTTAAGTAGTACTTGGCAAATGCTTTTCTAAGCTCTTCTGACATTACAGTTGGTTGAGCAGTCTGTTTATTGGACATAATAAAGTTTCAGATGGATAACAGAAGATACATGGCGAAATTGGTATTGTTTCAGAGAGAGAATGAAATGATTCACTGGCTACTTGGAACATCAGAACACATGGGCCATGAAGACTGCCAGTGAATATACTGTGAAAAGATAAAAAGGCATCATTTTTTTTCCCCTTGGTGCTTGGGATTGAACCCAGGAAGGACCTTGCACATGCTGAGTGTGCTTCACCACTGAGCTATATCCCTAGTCCAAAAATACTATTCTTAAAAACTGTTACGAATTTTCTCTCACACTGCATTTAGTCTACGTGAAATGTATACTTACTTGGTCATTAAGGGACATTAGACTTCCTTTTCCAGAACAGCAGTACTTTCATTAATAATACTGATTTTTAGGGTAAAGTGAGCTAAAGGATGAATGCCTTGTGCTTTCATGACACCCCCCCCCCAGAGGTTTTATTGGTATAAGTTATCACAGAACAGATTCTTACCTTTATTTTTTTTTAACTCCCTTCTTTCAACTACCTTTAGACAAAGAAAGCCAAAGGAGAAACACTAAACCTACACTTTTGTTGACAAGCTTAATCAGACTTGACTTAAATATGTCCTTTGGTCTTGCAAGTTAGCATGGTTGCTAAGATAAAACAAATGAAATAGAAGTTCTGCTCTTGATATTTGTAACACAGATTACACATGTCTGCCCTCAGAACTGCTCTGGTCTGCAGCCAGAAGTTACACCGTAACTGTTATATACAGCTATACATGCATTCTGTGCCCATGGACTAAATTACACTTTCATGTGTAACATTGTACCAGAAGACTTTCCATTCTAAAAAAAAAAAAAAAGAAAAGAAAGAAAAATGTTCCCATAGATTTTTTCCAGTACTTCCAAATTGTTATGAAGAGGTATCTAAAAGCAAAGAACTGGAAAAAAGAATCATATCACATTTGGCCTTAATATAAGACATCAGAACACATCTTTAACAATGGTAAGTTCTTCAGAATCAAAACTTAAGAGTTTAAAAATCAGATGAAATGTGAGAGAAAAGGTTATCAGGTTCTCAGGACCCCTGAGATTCATTCCTGTCTCTCTGACTTTGAGTGTGTTGCTGGCAGAGATTGTAATCTCAATACTGCTAAATTTGTGGAAGGAGTGTATGACCTCATGTCCTTTTTTGCCAGACTCTGCAAAGTTTAAATGTTAGTGACAGAACATAGACTAGCTTTTGACTGTGCTTGTTTTGTTTTGAAAGAACAAAAAATGCTCTCAGCAAATGTTTTAAGAAACAAGTAATTCCAAGATCCTAAAAATGGTTTCCCGTATTGCCAGGAGAATTTCAGTGCTTTTTAATAAAACACCTGCATAAAATACCTTAAATCTCGTCACGTGTGCACCAGGAAAAAACTCCAAACTTGTGGAGATCCCCATGGGGAATGTTGGGGAAACAATACAAATAGAATATAAAAAAACAAAATACCATTAAGTTTGCATATCTAATGTCAAAAGGCTGAGGTAATATT